TCTTCCCTGGCAGAAGTTGACATTCTTCGTCATATGCGGGCATGGTTTGAGACTTCACTATAGTTCCTGGGATAAATCGCTTCATTGCTTGTAGCAAATGTGGTAGCTCATTGTACGATGTATCCCAATCTCCATACGTCAACTTCATTGCCTTCATTTTCGCATTCCACACCTTGCCATATTTTACTTGATATCCAAATTGGCTTCGAATAGATGCAGCTAACACTGAACAAGATATCCTTGGATCCTTTTCAACCATCGCCTTCACGTATTCACATATTACATCGGAGTCCAATAGTCGGTGGTCTTGTTCGATGGAGTTTCGCAAACATGTGTGCGAACCATTGTACCTCGTGATGACCCAAACATCGTGCCTTTGATTTTTCGACACTCTGATCTTCCACTTGCACTCTGGGCCATATTTTACACACTTTGCGTATAGGGTTTTCTGGTTGGACTCTGTAACATGGACATCAACATGGCATTTGATGCAGTACTCTTTAATCGCCAGCTTAGCTTCATTTTTTCCTCTGAATTGCACCCCAACTGAAAATTCACCAGAATTATCGAATGATTCAGTCATTTGGTACGGAGGTAAATGTGGCATGTCTGGGAATTCAGGTGCCCTCATTGCATCATAGTTTATCTCGTACATGTGAGGAGTAGCTTCATACGGTGCCGGAACTTCATCAATTGCACCTCCACCAAAAATATTTTCGTCGTCGCCCAAAACGGGTTCTTCGGTTTCTTCATCTTCGCTTGAATCATCGTGAATTTCTCCCCATCGATTTTCAGCGTCAATATTAACAACCAATTTCGATATGTTTCTCGTCTCATACTCTGCTGTTGCAGATGTCCCCCCGACTTCATTTACACTTTCCAATAGTGCCATAAAACTATTCGGGAACCTGTACGTCGGCTCCTCAAACTGACTATATAAAGCCATTTCAGATGGATTTTGAGCCACACCTCTTGATGACCCAGGAACATCACATATGTTACGCACATCAACAAATAACTCAATAACTGCTATATTGGTTGACTCATGTAATCCAACCATGGTTCCAATATCATCATCTTCTTCAAGTGGAACTGCAGCATATCTGACTGGGTTGGGGCATATCATAAACCTATACCTCAAACCATCAACTGCAGCTCGAATTTTTCTTTCTATCTTATGCTTCATTTCTATAAATGTGATGTCTTTTTTGAACATCATATTTATTGGTTTTTCAGACTGAAAAGCTACTCCGACCTCATTTTCCATAATATGTCCATTATAATGGACAATCGTGAAAAAGTTGTTGCTCATTTTCTCTACAAATAAAAAAATAAATTAATTTAGATTAAAATATTAGATAAGATAATTTCATAAAACATTAAATCATTAAATATAATATAATATACTATTATATATTAATGATCAAATAAAATTTGTTATTTAACTTGATTAATTGATTAATTACTAATATTATTAATAATGATTTAATAATTATTATTAATCTAATGATTTGATATTTAATGATTTAATAATAATATGATTTAGTCATGATTACTAATAATTATTTATTATAAATATTTAATGATTTAGATTTGATACTAATTATTTAGTTATTATTACTAATAATCATGATTAGTTTGATAATTTTTTTTATTTTTTAAAAATATCAAACAAATTTGTTAGGCAAAATATCGTAATAATGCGTTGGCCGGATTATTTCATTCAATTAATTTTTACTCCTTACTAATTTACACATACAATATAAATAAAACAAAATATTTTTTTTTAAAACAACACTAAATATTTTAAACATAATATTTTTTAAACAAAAATTATCTCGCACAAATTAGTTTATATAATCTAATATAAACTTACTATCTAACTAATTTACACATACACAACAACAAAAAATAGACAACAAAAAATAATAAATTACTCATGTATTTATGCCTTCCTCCTTTCCTTTCTTTTCCTTCTTTGTTTCTTTATTCGAATCAATTTCAACATGGGCAAATGTTGTGGAATAATGCTCTGTATGTGTAAACCGTTTAATTTATTTAAACAGCAATAGCTCCCACAAATTAATTTTATATAATCTAATATATTATAATATAACTTAAACTAATAAACTATTTCTTTATTATAATATAACTTAGTTAAAATAACACACTAATTAAGCACTAATTAATTTTTTTATAATATAACTTCAACTTCAATGAACAATCTAATATATGTTTAAAGACACTAACAAATTAATTAATATTTTTTTATATTTAATAACTTAAACTAATTAACTAATTAACTAATTTTTTTATATAATATAATATATAACTTAAACTAACCAACTAATAATTTATACTAACAAACTAATTAACTAGATTTTAGTTTTACCCTAAACCCTAAACTAACAAACTAATAATTTCATATAATAAACTAAATTAAACAATAAAAAATTACCTCACAAACTATGTTTGATCCTTTATCTTATTTTCTTCTTCTTCCTTTTCCTTCTCTCGGCAAAGTTTATATGTGCTTATACTTATACTCCTGGTTGTTCTTCTGCTTCTATCCTAAACCCCATATCATTTATATAAAGCAAAAAATCGTTGTACAGAGTCATTAAAATTTGACTATTGAATAAAATATTATTAGGATTGAATCATATAACTATTGAGCATTGAAAGTCTTCAATTGAACAGCAATATTTGTTGTATTTAACAACTAAATTAACGCTGCAATCATACAGCTATGGATGCAACGCATGCAGCTACGGATGCAGGAATCTCCCAGCTAGCTATGGATGCAACGCATGCATGAGTGATACAGTTAAAGCTTGGTCGTTGCATGCATGAGTGATACAGTTAAAGCTTGGTCGCGATGCAGGAATCTCCCAGCTATGGAGACTCCATGGCGACCTACCACCTACCCTACCACCTACCATGTCGTCGGGACTCCATGGCGACCTACCATGTCGCCGGCAACCTAGAACCGATCCTTGGTCGCCCCGAGTGCCCCATGCATGAACCGATCCTTGGTCATCCTTGGTGCATGGCCCATGCAGAGGTTTGCCGAGATAAGACCACGTGAACAAAGCGCAACGCGACCTATCCCATGCCTCGTGCATGGCCCATGCATAGCACCAAAGCAGCATCAGCGAGCAACAGCGGGCACCAAAGCAGCATCAGCGAGCAACAGCGGGCAAAGAACCAGGGCAAATAATGATGGACGCCGGGCGTGCATGGCGACCTATAAGGATGCCGGGCGTGCATGGCGACCTATGTTGCCACTGTAAAATTTACCCCATTCGAGCAATTAATCTGGCCAGTGCATCATCTCGTAAAATATTTTTTTTGAATGCATTATGTCGTGAGTTTTACCGATCCTCGAAGCTGTTGGATTTTAGTGTTTTTATTGGACAAATAGACTTGTTGATTGCTAGAAGCTTTGTCGGCCACGTCGGATTTTCGTACAGGAATGTTGAGAGGCACGTGGACCCCCTCTTAATGTCACTGTCTCTTTGTGAATGAAATAAATAAATAAATAAGAACTGCCACAAGTGCATATAATAGATGTGGCACGGAGGTTGCATGGTTTCGAGTTTCAGGGTCCCACGGTATCAGACAGGGAACAGGATATATATTAATAAAGAGATCCATAAAAAATAAAACAATGGAGTTCTGAGTACAGTAACTATATAGGACGATGTGTCTCGTGGTTTCCCCACATTCAATCCGATCATGACATTGAACCTGCCGCTAAGTGTCACTGTCTGTTTTCCTTGAAACAATAATCTAAATTTACATACAACCAAAGTATTCTAGTCGATTGCGAGAGCCTCGAGCGCACTCTTGATGATACCATCTAGTCAAGCCCCCACTTTTATAATGCTATATAAATTACAGATAACTTCATTACAATAACAATTTACACATTATTCGTTGTAATCAGTTTTCAAACAAAATTTATACATGTTTTCAAGTTTGATCTAATGTCTTCTTTTACATCCTTTTAATCCCATCAATCAGTAAGTAAATTAAAGATAAAAGATACAACCCAAAACAATATATATGTGTGTGGGGACAAAACTAGAATCAAATTTAAATACAAGAATTAGGGACAAGACTTAGTTTGATAAATATTCAAACTGTCCTAGACCTGAAATGTCTTTACAAGCCAAACCCTTCTTTGTTCGTCACTGTGTGTGTATGTTGGCCAAAAGAATGTTACAAAACAATGGAACCCTATGATCATGTATTATACGAAAAGTGAGTAAGGAAACTGGAACATACTTGCTTCTAAGCTAATTCCAAGCCTTCGGGTAAGGGTTGAGTATCAGGATGAGGTGAGAGAAACCTCCTACAAGCATACGACATGGCTGAATGGAATCCATCTCTATTTTCAAGGAACACGAAATGGCCAGCCTGAATATGATAGAGATGCAAACAAGATAAGGGGTCTGAGAGGACAATATAGCATTCGGGTCCTAAAATAATAGCTTTCATGGAAGAATAAAATGCCTTTGGCAGGAAATGATGCCCAACTTAATTTTCGTGTATATGGCAGAAGTGAACAAACCTTAGGAACCCTGATAATTTCACATGGGACAACCATTCTTTTGCGAGCTTCTTGGGCTCCTTCATAGTTCATCCAATCTTCAGTCCCATATATAAATGTCGTCGGCACTTTCCATTCAGATGCACTATTCACAGAAAATAAATAAACTCAATATCATCTTCCGAGAATCTGAAATCATCTCTTCTTAGTATATTGCATGACTGCTCTAAACTCTAGCTAGTGGTTCATATGGTATGGCTCTAAGATCAGTCAGCTTAAAAAATCTTGAATGTGTACTATAGTTTTGATTAGATGTTATGCACTTTTGCATCATCCACTTATATCAATCAAGTCAAAATCTTTTGAGTTCCTCTAATGCTCTTCTTGTTGGCCCCTTGAGACCAGAGCGCTTTATGATCATTACAAGGACATTACTCTTTTTTTTCCTCGTACGGAAATAATGTTTTGAAATCAGATACATACTTGCATTCTAGAGAACGTTTTCAAGTGAAATGTGAGATATTGTACAAATAAGATTCCCAAAGGTCTAAACAGAATCTTGATGAATATAAACATGCAGGTATTAGCCACAGCAATGAACCCAATCAAAAAGTAAATAAACACTTCTACAGCACCAATAGCAATTAAGCAGGGAAATCGAACCTGTTTAAAAGGGGCTTCCGAGTCATTGCTCCAAAAGAAAATATATATTTTAAGCACAGCTCTCCACTTGCTTTGGCGGCTGAAGTATGGTATGCATAATCTTCAACCATGAAGAATAAGAAAAAAAATAGCTGTTAGATTAGATATCTATTTCTTATACATAAGCTACACGCTGAACCTAAAAATCGCATCATACCTGTTAGAAGACTACTCTGCTCCTCTGTCAGTACAATCTCAGGTGAATATCTAGGGCGAAACCTACCAGTTGTATACTTGCGTACAAGATTCGGACCCCAAGGACCTAAACCTCTGCACACCAGAATTATCCAGAAAATGCAAAGCCATTAATTAAACTATTTGATTCCAGATGCAATCATGATAAGCAAACAAATGAAATAAATCAAATCAAAGTAAAAGGACTTTGACATCAATATAAAAAAGGGAGACCTAAAAAATTATTCCAACAACAGTTCAAGGTATAAGTAATGAACATAAAAGGTGCATTGGAGAAATAACCTAAATAAGAGCCCATGAAGAGCAAACATATTAGTTCACTACAACAATGGATTACCAAGGATCAAGTTGGAACCCTTTTGTCCCTAATAATGAATAAGCTTACTAGATGCATTTAGAGCATAGCTCTATAATGATATAGTTTTTGCAGATCAACCCAGAGTAATGGTTAATGTTAGAATCAGTCGTGTAGAAGTCTTGTTTGTTTAGGAGTCCTTTATGACAATAAAGGATAAGTATTAAGAGTCTTTGTAATCTCTATCTTTAGACAATCATATTTCTCTATCATTACCTCTTTTACTCTTTCCCTCTCCTTTGATATATTTACTTAGATTATAACAGTTAATACATGAGCTTGATCTCTGGTTGCGTAGAAAACAGGATAACATAATTACAAACCTTACAAGTTTCTGAGGAGTAAAATTAGACTCCCATAAATGATACGTGATTGACCCTTTCCATGTTTCTCTGAAGCGGGCAAACCACTTAAATCTGATATCTGATTCTGATGAAAATCCAGCAGGTCCCACTAAAATTAAGTGTTGAACATGTTCAGGATGCTACAGAACAAATGTAAGGGGGCATCAGAACAAAAAATCGTACTATCAAACTACTTATTGAATTGAAACATCTAATATATAAAAGCAATCACCTTGAGAGCATACTTAGAAGCAATATATCCTCCTAAAGAATGTCCAAGTAATATAAGGTTACTGAGATTTTTTGCTTTACGCCATTCCTCAAAAGAATCAACAAACCAATCCTCTGCCTCTGCATCATCAAAACGAGAAAAGGTGAGAAACACATGCAATTGCTCTAGGAACTTCTAGAAAATGAAGAGGTCCAAATGGATTCTTTTGTATTCCACTTACAAACCTTCAGTGCTTTTGCATTTAAAGTCAGGCCTGCTTGATCCACCCCAACTGGAGAGAAAGGTGAAGAAAAAGTAAAACTATAATGGAATAGTGATATCAAGCTCAAAATGCAGAATGCATGCCTTTGGCAATTGAAATAAGAAACAGCTGCTTCTTAAATAACACAAGCCTTTGGCAATTGAAATGAACAACAGCTGCTTCTTAAATAACAATAAGAATTCCCTTTGGTAAACCATAGATGAAGCCAAAAACTGATCGAGTTGAAGTTCATAAGGGAGCTTACTGCTTACCCAAGCAGATCAATGGCAATGACCTGGAAATGATTGGCGAGATAATCGAAATTCTTAAAAAAGAAACCCTGAGAAGCAGCATATCCATGTATTATAACAAGTGTAGGGGAACCTTCTTTGCTATCAAAGGTAACTGTATTTATGAACCTCGGCTCGTTGCTCGAAGAACGAAACCACCTAACTTTAGAACCAGGCGCACCAGAACCTACATTCACTTTTTCTTGCACATATGGAGTCCTGAAATTTTCAATAATTCATCCATAATTATCGATCTCCTATCCAATTTCCCATCGTAATAAATAAAATAAAATTGATATACAAAAACCTATTACAATAACGGTGATTGAAATATGGGAATTCAAGTAACGCGCAATCAAAATTTCCAGCTTTTATCAAGCATAGACTTGGAGAATCCGAAATAAATTGACAAGCAAAAGGAATTGAGGGTGTACATACTTGACGAGAGAGAGAAGGCGTTTCTCAGCGGCGATGATGTGATCGGTAGAAGTAGGAATCCAACGGGGAACGGACGGCCATGAGGATTTTCTTTTTGCCACGGTGATTGACGAGGAGGATCGAAACGCGGGTTTGTTAATTTCTTCGGCCATTTTTTTCTTGAAATGAAGCTGGATCAACGGTGGAGAAAGTTGTATAGCTATGGAATTGGAAATCCACGCATTTTGCTTGGTTTTTGTATTGGAGAGTTTTGATGTTGAGTCAATGAGAATTGAGATGTAGATGGGGAATATAATTATTTAATTATTCAGAAGAAAGTGGAGCTGAATTTCCATAGTCGGTAGTTTTAAATTGAAAATGAAAACGACTTGTTAAACAAATACTATATATAACGCCTTTAACCACCAACGAAGCCTTTGTCGCATTAATTGAACCATAATAAATTTAGGGTAAAGTATAGTAATGGTCACTAAACTTTTCTAAAACTTTCATTCAGGTCCCCCAACTTTTAAAACTTACAATACAATCCTCCAACATTTAGTCTGTTTACAATATGGTCCCCGACATAACCGACCGTTTGACGCCGTTACACTGCCGCTAGTACATTTGCAATATGGTCACTGAACTTTTCAGACGCTTGTATTTAGGTCTCTCAACTTTTAAAACGCATAGATAAAGAAAAGTTCAGTGACCATATATTCTCCCACGGAGTTAAAGGAGGAAAGATAAGGAAAACGCGTAGATTTTGCCTTATTTTCTCTCACGGATAACAAAATCCAGGTTTTACCTTCTAATGTCTAAACAGATAGCTTTTTCCTTGAGTTTTAAGATTAAGAAAAACTGCGGCAATTCGCTTTCGCTTCACAAGTCTTTTGTTCATACTTTTTGAACAGTGGAATCAGTAATGCAATGTAATCGCAACCACATTTGGTTAAAAACAGTGCGTAATCATTTTGATTCACTTTGCATATTTGGGTTTCGATTCATTGTATTTGTATTGTTTCTTTCCTATTTCCATATTTAGATTATGGGGGTTTTTTTGGTCTTTGTGTGTGTAGCAGTTGAAAGAATTATGAAATGAGATGGAAGGAATCAGTAGAAGTAATATGCAGAAGCTTCAATCACCACCTTCAAATTCATAGTTTAAGCCTCGAAACAACTCAGATATACCCATCTTCAGTTTATCTCAAATGGTTTCTCCTTCTCTTTCTTCTTCGTATATACGTTGGAGTTCTGAGAACAAGAGTAACAAAAGATATTGGATGCCTCCTTCACACCCCAACAACCCTACTGCTTCATTGTCTTGTCCAACACAGATCAATGGTTATAGTCCAAGTTCTCAACAAGGCTCACCGTCTCATTCTAGGTCTTTATCTCAATCCACCTTCTTTTCCCTTAATACCAAGCCCCCATGGAGCTCTCTCCCTAATATTGGCATTTCAATTTCTTCTCTGTCTGATCCTGTTTATAATGGTGTTTCTATGGAGAACAAGGTCGTTAATTCTAATATTAGGCCTTCACTTCCTTCACCAGAGGCCATAGGCGGTGCAGCAGTGATTTTCCCTTAGGATTATCTGCTATGATTCAGTCTTCGCCTCAATCTATTTCCATAGGGAACCCTGGTGTAGAGGAACCAATTCAGTTGGTGAAACGAGAATTGGCAGATGACTTGTTTAATGCTTACATGAATTTAGAAAATCTTGAGACATTGAACTCTTCTGGCACTGAGGACAAGGATTTGAATAGCATAGGTAGTGGCACAAAGACATGGAGGTGAAAGTAGTGACAATGAAGTGGAGAGTAGTGTCAAGAGGAGCGCTGCTGGAGATATTGCTCCGACGGTTCGGCAATTTCAAAGTGTTTCAATGGATAGTTTCAAGGGAAGTCTGCAATTTGAAGACGAGTCAACAAAGCAAAATCGAGGGGTCCATCAATCTACTGGGAGCAGTGAATTCAATGAAGTTGAGCTAAAAAAGATAATGGAAAATGAAAAGCTTACTGAGATTGCATATGTGGATCCAAAACTTGTCAAAAGGTTGTTTCTCTGTTCTTTTTCTTCTAGTTGCATTATAATTGGACGTGGTTACTGGTTCTGATTTACTCATGACAAAATTTTGGCTAATCGGCAATCGGTAGCTCGTTCCAAGGAGCGAAGATGCGATACATTGCAGAATTAGAGCACAAGGTGCAAACTCTACAAATTGGGGCAACAGTATTATAACTGAACGCAATTTCGCCTTGAATTGGGCTCATTACACACTTGCTGCTCAGCATTTTTTTTAAACAATTAAGTTTTAAAAAATAGTTATAACTATATTTGAAAATTGATGATTTTAAATTAATTTAAATTAAATTGAATAAGAGTCGCTACCGACCTTTGGGCTAGGTAGGTCGAATACCTAAAAATTTCTTTTAAAACAATGTTAAGGAAAATCATTTTTAAGACAAAATTTGGTTTACGTTCACCAAAAATCCGATTTAACGGGTCCGAGAGTCGATTACGCGTGGGGAAGGATTAACACTCCACAACGCCCAAAATTGATACTTAATGGCTTACATATTATCGTAAATGGCGGAAATCATGAATTCACATAAAAAATTAGAGTATGATTCATTTATTAAAGTTAATTAATTTGCTTCGAATTATTATTAGGGAAAATCCTTTAATTCGAAAAGAAATTTTGAGATTTGCTCATCCTCCGACGGGAAGACTATCTCTACTATTTCTTGACCAAAAAGAATATTCCCTCATCGATAAAAAACACTAATTGAATATAAATTAAAAATTGACATTTACATAAATTGCTATTTAAAACAACACTCATTGCATCATTTGAGAGAGAAAAAAAATGAATTGATTATCATTAAAACATAAATTCGATTTATTTAGAGTTCACATTTCGTTAGAACGTCGTATCGGATCGCACTACTTTGATCAAGCAATGCTTTCCACACCTATTCTACAAATTGTTGTTCTTGAAAATATTCGAATAATGTATCAATAGATAAAGAAATACGAGGGGAATAAATGTTATTTAAAAAATATATATATATGTAAAATATATACAACAAACAACAACAACAATATTTATTTAATATAATATATAGAACATAATGTATACAATATATGTGCATAAAGGACTAGAATAAAAAAAAAAAGTAAAGATCATAATGCGAACATTTGAAACTATATTCACTTGATGATCCAGAGGACCATAATAACAACACCCAAGATTCGAGGGACCAAACAACAATACCAAACAAATAAAGGCTATGATCAAACATTTATAAACAAAAGCTGCTGGAAACGTAAATAACCCATAAATATTAAAGGACCAGTTAAAATTATACCAAAATGCATGCATATGAAATAGTGACTAAATAAAAAGAATCGCAAAACATAGGGTCAAATTCAAAAATAAACAAATATATCACAACATATGAACTGATGACTTAAATGTAAATATTGAAAAAACAAATGCCTGAAATAGAATATCATATTTTCATTCGATGACCAAATCATGAGATTACAAAGAAGCATGGACCTAAATGGCTATTTACCCCTAAAAATCAAAAAACACGGTGAGGGGTGCAAAATTACGCCGTTTTGCCTTGGGTATTTAAGCCCGAACCCAATGCTTTGTCTCTTATTTCTCTCATTTCTTATTTGGTTTTAGAAAGTGAAAGAGAGAGAGAGTTTTCAAACTCTCTCAACTTGCCTTCACGGGAAAGAGGAGGTCGCTGCTCACCAGTGTCGTTTAACGACCACTCGCAGTGGCCGGAGGGAGTAAAAATCTCCCAAAATACTCCTCACATATCCCTTAACCTGAATCCTAGTCCCATTTAACCTAAAACTCACCATAAAATCCAATATCTAGGTTTTACCTTTCGAAAACTTAGAGATCCAGCGACCCTTAAGTTGTCTGATGCTTCGATATGAGGTAAGGTATCTCTCTCTTTTTGATTCTTTTCTTTTTCCTTTTGGTTGCTCTCGGATTCTCCTCTGTGTGTAGGTTGTTTTTTTTTCGGATTGCTCTTGTTCTCTCTCTTTTCTCTCTGTCTTCGAAACTGGGTTCCCTTTTGTTGTTCTACCTCTCTCCTTTTAATCTCTTTGCATGTGATGGTTGATGAAGACCGATGCTGCTTTCGAGAAAATAGGGTATAAATACCCTGCTTTTGGCTTGTGACAGAGTCGAATTGCCTCGGGATAATGTTGCTAGCAAGTTGATATTTTTATTATTTTTTTTTATTTTATGCAATTTTCACTGTTGATGTTGATATATTGTCATTGTAGGTTGACACGGCGGCATCAGAGGCAGTCGACAATAGCAGCAGCAATAATAGTGGCGGTGACAAATATATTAGGGTTAAAACCCTAGGATTCTTGGACGATCTGGACCGTTGGATGAGTCTAGATCCAATAGTGGAGATTAGGACGGTTGGGGCTAAGATGAAAAAACCCTAACTGTCTGGTTTAGTGTTGGGCGTGGATCGGGTCGGATCTTGGGCCTCAGGTCTGGGTTCCAGTTGAGTTCTGGTGGGTTGGGTTGTTGTTGTATTTCCTTCTGGGCTTGAACCGGGTGGGCTTCTGTAAATTGGGTCTGCAAAATGTAAATTAATAATAATAATGATAATCGTAATTTAAAACCCGGACAAAAAACGGGTGTCTACACTCATCATTGTTTGCTCTTCCTTGTTTAGAGAGATTCTTTTGGGCTTACAAGTCAGAACAATGAGTTGAAATTTCGTCTTCAGGCTATTGAGCAACAGGCTCGACTTAAAGACGATATACGTAAATTTGTTCTTATGTCATCCAATTCTGGAGAAAGTTTCTGAATTAGTGCCTTACTTGATAATTATGCATAACCTATCAGTGATTATGACTGGTAATCCTGTAAGACTTTAGTATATATCTGAAGCATATAGACACTGTAAGTTTTTCCCATTGGATTGTCATGTTTTGCATTTGGAGTACATGTTGATGGATCAAACTGCACCAAGTTTTAAAGATCATGCATGTTGTTATGCTTAGAATTTAACCTGAAAGTTCCTTTCCATTTGAACTAAAATATGAATCTCTCTTATGAATTTGATTTGGCAGCACTTAATCAAGCATTAGCTGTAGAAGTCTAGCGACTGAAGCTTGCAGCAGCAGTGTTAAGCGGAGAAGCTCACCTTTCAAACATCGTGGCTCGGCAGG